ACTCGAAATGGAAGTAAGCTCAACAATTATGAAACAAGCGATTCCTCGAAACCCAACTTTTCTTCGCATACTTTCATAAAGACTCGTTTTTCATAAGTAGTCTTTCGATGGTACCAGTAGATCATATATACGACGTCTATCCATACCATTTTGTTTGAGGTGATAAATGGACGGGTAGTTGAGTTTTCCCATACGCCATGATAGTTTGCCCACCTGGCCGGTAACAACAGAAGGCCCGGTTGGTGAGCCGTCGGCCGGTCCATGTCGGTACATGCTCTTCTCCTACACCCCGTGCAACCATTTCCCCAACTTCAAGCCGGTGTCCGGATCGGGGCCGTCTGCCGGAGAGTCCGAGAGACTATGCTTGTGATTCCTATACTCATTTGGCCGATAATCAAATCTAATCCGAGACATCTTTCAGGAGTTTCTAACCTCTCAATCGGTCATCAGCCGGACTGACCTACATTGCACAGCCAGTCCCCAGTACAGGACAACTAAGTCTGTGCGTTGTTTGGCTGTTCTACTCATTCCACTGCACAGGCTCTCTGCTGCTGTTGCCGTCGAGACGGACGAGCTGTAGCGAGGGTTGTGCCTGTGAGCAGAGCAGCACGTCTGTTCATCTGCAAAAGCAGACAAGATTAGCAAATGCCGACCGCCATTATGGCCATCAAAACAGGCGAAAAAAGTATTACCAACTGGTTGGCGGTGCAGATCCGTCCTGAAAATAGGCTGTCTGCGGGAAAAATAATTGCCAAGACGAGACTTGGACTGTGTTGCTGATGACCGCTCGTTGCCTTGACGACGCAGACGGTTGTTGCGCAAGTCTAGAGAAGGAGGCCGGCTGAGCAACCGTGGCTTCTACAGGGTACCATTGAAAAGGTGTGAAACCAGCGCGACGTAAGGAGACGATGGTAACGAGATCGCCTAATTCATCAACGTATCACTTGTGATGGAGAATGAAAATAGCTCGGGGCCGAAGGGGTCAGTCTCCATTTGAAGTGACTTTTAAGCATGCTGCTCGGTGCGATTGTTGTTTGCGAAGAGAAGTTGGATTTCGAGAAATTTATTATTTCATAATTGTTGAGCTTACTTCCATTTCGAGTGAAAGTGTTGGGTGAAGGGATGCGAAGATTGGTTCCACCAGAAGACGACGGCGGATTCCTCTTGACCCGCTGTCGATTAGCTTTACTGGAACAATCATGCTGACGCTGTTTCCGAGGCAATCTCACTCGATTCCGGTGAAAAGGTGCTAAGCTTTCGTGCGTCATTTGACGAACATCATCAGAACAAGGTATCATCATCACAACCAAATTCAAGCTAACGAGTCAAGAAAACTCACCTGCAAATCCCTAAATAGTGGTATATACATCTTGATTAAGTATAAAGTGAGCTGTTTAGTTACGCTTATATGTCAAATTCGATGCCTGTGAGTGTGTCTGTCTCTGTATGTGTGTGTGACTGTTTGTGTTCGCTTATGCACGAAGCCCGAAGTGATGGCGCAAAGTAATTAGGACAGCAAAAGCGAGTGTGTGTTTTTGGTATTTTTTTCTACATTTAATTTATAACCATCATTCCGATTGAGCAAGGTCGGACACTTGTCCCGTTTTGTTGATAACCATTTTTGTTTTTGGTCCCAATGCGAGAGAGAAAGAGTGAGCTAAAAGTACAGAAAAGTGACTATGATTAGAAGCAAGACAAGAAAAGCCTATTTGCGTCGTCTCCTTTTTGCAGGCGGCTCAACTCCCTCTCTTTCCTTCAGTCTGTTAATTAAGCACAACTTGTCTCTTTTGACGAGTTGCTGTATGGTGCTAAGAATGGCGATGCTCACTAACGATGCCGGCGAAACCTTTTTGGGAATGTACCATATGCATAATATGAACTTCGGACTAGGTGCCTTCTTCTAAGCCTTTCTACCAATATGACCGAGTTGCGAAAACAAGATCAAACAACGTTTAGACAAATAGTTTTACTAATCTCTTTGCCGGTATTTCCTATTCCGTTTATTTCTATGGAACCATACCATAATCAGCACAAGGCAGAAACGAGACACGAGATTGAATAGTCTCAAACTTGTCGTTTTGATGATCATGGTTTGGTTGCGGCGAAATGCCAAATTAGAGAATCCATCA